GCCCCAGATCCCACTTCTGCTTGCTCAAGTCCCTGAGTCCCAGGCCTTGCTGGGGGCCTCCCCTGCCTAGGTCTTTCCTGTCTTGGTATTGCACAAGGCCTACAGCTGCCTCCCTGCCCAGGCTCCAGGCTTTGGAAAAGAGGAAGCAGCCACTGGAGACTGGACCTTCCTCTGTTGGGGCAGCAGAGCTCTGGGGAGCCAGCTGTACCGAGAGCTCCGGCCTTCCTTCCTGTTCTCTCCGCACTTCTTCCCATGGAGCAGGTACTCAGCACCCCTGGGACTGGAGGGTGAACCAAGCGCTGGGAGCAGGGCTGGGCTGAGACTTGCTGGGAGGCATCTGGGTACGAATGCTGGACACCAAACCAAACAACCCAAGCCCAAGACACTAATCAAAGCTGTGTTCATAACCCAAACCCCTCCACCACCCCAAATTCTCCCAAACCCGCACCCGAGTCCCCCCACCTCACTTGCATCCCACGCCCAGCTACTTACTAATCACCGTCTTCATCCAGTTCAACCGATCCACAATTCTAGCCTCAGCTTCAACCTGACCCCGACTCTACCACCCTCATCCCCCCCAGCCTCGACCTCACACTAATCATCACCTGCACCCAACTCCAACCTCCTCCCTCACCTCGACCTGTCACTGTCACCTCAATGTCAACCCCAATCCTGGCCTTAAATCCATTCCAAGTTCCAACCTAACCATTACCCTGACCCCAGCCCAAGACCAGCTACCCTTAATCTCCCACTCACTCTAACCCCAGTCCCACTCCATTCACTCATCACCCCCACATCCGGCTGCACCAGGGACCCCAGCATGCCCAGCACAGTGCGGGGAATGGGCGCTCCAGGAGCACTGAGAGCCAGTTTAAGGACTGAAATATGAAATTTCTGCTGTCCATGTCAAAGCCAATAGACATTATTAATGGATTCTATGGCTTTCAGAATTAATTGTTTGGTCTGTGTTTGGGGCTTTTTTGGGGCTATTTTGAAGATAATCTACTGCTGGAATTGCCCATTTGTACCCTGACTTCCCAGCTGTGGGCCAGAGCCCTCCGGCTGGCCATATCACCCCACGTCCCTCCCTCTCCAGTCCGATAGGGAAGTTGGGGAGAAGCCCCAGTGTGAGGAAACAGAAACTGAATCCTGCACCTGGGTACAGCTGCTCACAGTGAAACTACTGCTGCCCTTTCTTCCCCAGCCGGACATGGCCTCTGGGATTGGAAGTCAGGGACTTAGGGCCCCAGCCCAGCCCTCCCCTCACACTCTCCAGATGTCCTGGGATACTTGATGTCAAACAGGCAGCAAACGTGGGTGCCCACTGTGTACCAGGCCACCCCAACACACAACATACCAGTTCTAGGCATGGGGATTTTAAATCCTGTCTTCAGAGTACCCAAGACTTGGAGACACAAGGATGGACCTCAGGCACTTTGCATTGGGCAGACAATGCTGTCCAAAAGAGTCAGTGCCCAAGCCAGGGGCTGTTTCAGGGCTGCAGAGCTCCCTGTTCTGGTACACCACACATTTTGCAGGAGCTGGAATCTTTCCTCTGCCACAGGGGGCACTGGCTGCTCACTAGGCTACCCAGCACCCGTCTGGGTGGGGGCACTTTCCCCTCTGCACCAAGCTTTCAAACAGGGACAAGGGTCTTCCCTTCTGGAGTTGTCCCTGCTCGTTCTTTTTCCAGGACAGTTCTCTGGACTGAGGCTGGTCTTTACGGTGAAATGAAACAGGCTGAGCCAATAAGCTGGAGTCTGGTGGGACTGACCCCTTTGGTGTTAGGACTGGGCTAAGCATAGATGACCTCTCCATGATGTGATCTGGGGTAGTTCTAGAAAGGGTCTTCTCACACACTCGAAGAATTCCTGCTCTGTTCTGGGGTCAGTACGTCCAAACTCCCACCATTCTTCCTGTATGTTCAGCATTGCCCTTTTAAGGCCCAAAATGGGAGAAGCAGGGGAGCTGGGGACAACATAAACATGTTTTCTGGGCCCCACAGCCACACCTGACCCCAGATGTGCCCAGCAGGCTGCTTTTCCTCAAGGCGAGGTAAAGCACAGCATCCAGGCTCAGGGGCCCAGCTTGGGCCAGTCTCCAAACATGATATCAAAAGCACAGACAATAACCAGGGGCTCTGGTCTGAAGGCTCTGGGTACACTGTCCTGGAAGAGGAGCTGGCCTAGAACTGCCCAAAGAACTGTGGGTGAGCCACCGGGCCTCCACATATGACCAGACCTGTCTGCTGGAGCAACCCAGAGAGTGGCTAGGTCCCCTGAGGAACATTGTTCCTGACCATGTCTTTGGCTGTGCTCCTGCTAGGATGTCCCTCCTGCCTTCTGCTCTTGACACAATACTGCTTTGTCATCCTGACAGGCAACTCAGGCCCGACCCAGGCCCTGGATCTCAGCCCCTTGCCAGGTGTGCCCCCTGGTAGCCATTGAATCAGCTGTGCCCAACTCACAAGGCAGATGGGCTGGGGGCTGGGAGATGTCATGAGTTTCCTGTCCCCACTTCCAGCCTCCCCAGGCCTTCCCCTCACACTGCCAAGTCAGCATTAGGACCAGGGAGGATTGCAAAGTTGGCAAGATGTGAGCGTATGTGACAAAATATACATATAAAATTTACTGTCTTAACTGTAAAATTACTGTCTTTAAGTGTACAATTCAGTAGCATTCATACATTCACAATATTGAGCAGCCATCATTTTCATCATCTGAAACAGAGACTTTGAACCCATTAAACACTAACTCCACATACCCACTTCCACACATCTCTTGTTACCTCTATGTCTCTATGAATTTGCCTAGTCTAGATATTTTTTTGGGGGGGGGGTTCCCCAGAGCTAAGGTTCACCATATAAGAAAAAAATTAACTGTCCTAAATTAATATATGGATTCGTAATGGTGGCTTTTTTTTTTTCTAGATATTTTTTGTAAGCGGAATCGTACCCTATTTGCCTTTCTGTGTTTGGCTGATTTCACTCAGCATGTTTTCAAGGTTCCCTGTGCTCAGATGTGCTAGAATTTCATTCCTTCTCATGAGAATTTCATTCCTTCTCATGGCTGGTGAACAGTCCGCTACATGCATACACCGCATTTCGTTTATCCATTCATCGTTGATGGACATTTGGGCTGCTTCCATCTTTTGGCTATTGTGAATAACACTGCTATGAACAAGAGTGTACTAGTATCTAACTGAGTCCCTGTTTTCAACACTTTGGGGTGTCTACCTAGGAGTGGGGTTGCTAGATCTTATGGTAATTCTACGTTGACTTTTTGAGGAATCGCCAAAGCATCTTTCACACACTGCATGGTTTTACATGGCCACCAGCAATGCGCAGGAGTTCAGTTTCTCCACATCCTCACCAAAAAACGTGTTGTTTTCCTTTTTGTTTCTTTGTCTCTTAATAACCATTATAATGGGTGTGAAGTGGCCGCTCATTATATTTCGATTTGCATGTCCCTAATGCCTAAGATGTCAAGCATATGTGTACCTTCCTCGGTGAGGTGTCTGTTCAAGTCCTTTACCTGTTTTTTGAGTCGAGTTGTTTGTGTTTTGTTGTTGAATTGTACTAATTCTTTATATATTCTGGATATTAATCCCTTATCAGATATATGATTTGCAAATATTTTCACCCATTCTGTGGGTTGTCTTATTTTTCACTCTCTGGATGGTGTTCTTTGATGCACAAATGTTCTTAATTTTGATGAAGTCCAATTTATCTATTTTTTCTTTGTCTGTGCTTTTGATATCATAGCACTGCCTGATCTGAGGTCATGAAGATTTTCACATATGTTTTCTTCTAAGAGTTTTATAGTTTTAGTTATATGTGTTTCTGGCATTTCTTCCCTTTGGACTCATATCTGTGGCCCCCTTAGGTCACCCCCTGCCCCCAGAAGCATGACAGAGGGCCAGCCTTCTTGTTCATGGTGTACAGGAGACATTTAGCTCGTGTCTGTAGGCTGTGTTGCACAGGGCCCTCATGCCACCTGTCACACCTTACCTTGCCCTGCTACCTGCCTGTCCCAACTCTGAACCCTCAAAGACCACACCCCCTCACTCACCCACCAAGGGGACTGCTAAGTGCCTGGGGGCTCTGCACAGCTGCAGGACATATGCTGTCAGTCCCAGGTCCTGAGAAATGGGTGATCACAAATTGCCAAAGACAAAGCAAGCTATGGGGGTGGCTTCAGGGATCCCAAAGCAGAGGTTTCAGCTGGAAGCCATATGCCTGCTGTACCTTGAAGGCTGAATGAAGTTTCAGTAGACAAAGATCATTTGTGGTGAGGACAGTGCTGGGAGCTAGGGAGCACATGGGCAGACAGGACTGGCCCCAGGGTGGGTCTGTGGAGAGCAGGGAGCAGGAAATGAGGATCTTTCACATCTCATGAGTAATGGGGAGCCACAGAAGGTTTTTGAGCAGAGGGGTGACTCTTAAAGGCAGCATGTGGGTAAATTCAGTCAAGCCCCATTATGGCCTATAGCTGGTAAGGCTGGTGGTAGGGAGACAAGTCGCAAGCAATAAACCACCATTCTTGCTGGGTGCCTTGGAGTAAGTCACTAGGCCTCTTTGGGCTCCAGTTCCTGTTGGCTTGGATGGTGGGGAGGGGGCAGGCAAGTGGAGGGAGGAGGGAAAAACAGTGGTTCATCTGCCCTGGGGTGGTGTCATTGAGGGGCTGGGAAAGCAGAACTTGGGGTGGGGCCATGGGCACACTGAAGGCTTTCTGGGGCAGGCCATGAAGTGAGGGCATTCCTGGGCGCAGTCCGAGCTGGGAGCACTGGCTCCTGGCTCCCTCCTGGTGGCTGCCCAGAGGTCCTTAGGAGACCTGCCTTTTCACTGTGTTGGTCAGTATAGGAGGTGGGGACACAGGGCTGGACTCCCAGCAGGCTCTGGGGCTGAAGTGCCGTGAGGTGTCCCTGGGAGGCCCCTATGTGTCCAGACAGCCCAGTGTGTACCACCCTCTCAGGCACCAGAACCAGCACGAGAACCTGCTATGGGCTTCCTGCTGCACCTTCTCCTGGCCTCCTTCTTCCCATCAGGTAAGTTCCACTGGCCTAGTTCCTGTCTCATGGGGCCTGGATTCCATAATCTAGCCCTCAGCAGACTGGACTATGCCTGGGTCACAGGTTTGGTGCGGAGGTTGAAGGAGGGCACAGGGAGGCAGTAGCAGGGAGTTGGACAGGAGGACAAGATCCTCCTTGAAGCCACCCTGCCAAGCCTCTGAGCAGGCCCCAGGCAACAGACCATCCCTGGGGCACCCAGAGGGGCTGATCTAGGGGTGCGTTGCTGGATGCAGGGCAGGATTTTGGGCCTATCTGGGGCAGCTTCTCTGGGGTAGGGCTCTCTGGTGACCCTGGGACTGCCTCTTCCCATCCTTCCTCCAGGCCAGACCTCCTGGGGTGTCTCCAGCCCCCAGGGCGTGCAAGGAGTGAAGGGGTCTTGCGTGCTCATCCCCTGCATCTTCACCTTCCCTGCCGACGTGCAGGTGCCCGGTGGCATCACCGCCATCTGGTACTATGACTACGCGGGCAAGCGGCAGGTGGTGAGCCACTCAGCAGACCCCCGCCTGGTGGAGGCGCGCTTCCGGGGCCGCGCCCAGCTGATAGGGCAGGTGGAGCACAAGGTGTGTAACCTGCTGCTGAAGGACCTGCAGCCTGAGGACTCGGGCTCCTATAACTTCCGCTTCGAGATCAGTGAGGTCAACCGCTGGTCAGATATCAGAGGCACCTTGGTCACTGTGACAGGTGAGGAGTGGAGTGGCCTGACTACTGCCCAGAAGGGACTCCCAGGCTGCTCCTGGCCTCCCTGGCTCACAGCCCCATCCCTTGTCCTAAACCTAAGCCCAGCCCAATCTTGGTGTCAGTTCCAGCCACCCGCCTATCTCCTACCCTGGTTCCCTCTTGCGTTCACCCAACAGGGACTGGGGGTAAAAAGCAGCCTCTCCTTCTCCTTGAAGCCCCCTGCCCAGGGCTTTCTCCCCTCAGCTGGGATTTTCAGGGCAGGGAGTTTCAGGTGTGGCAAAGGGAGGTCCTGAGAGCCCTTGTCTTTGTCCTCAGAGTGGCCCAGAACACCCACCATTGCCTCCCCGGCAGAGCTGCGCGAGGGCATGGAGGTGGACTTCAACTGCTCCACACCCTACGCCTGCCTGCGGGAGGAGGTCAGGCTTCAGTGGCTAGGCCAGGACCCAGCTCGCTATGTCACCTCCAGCCACCAGAAGCTTGAGCCCACTGGCATCACCCACCTGGAGACCCTCCACACAGCCCTGTCCTGGCAGGACCATGGCCGGACCCTGCGCTGCCAGCTCTTGGTGGCCGACCAAAGTGTTCAGGGCGAGATTCACCTCCAAGTGCACTGTGAGTGTGCCGGGGCCACACCTTCCTTCCTGAGCATCCATCTGTGGCTCCCCAGTGGGCTGCATTTGGGCCTCCAGGGTAGGGCAGGTGGAGAGAGATTGCTAAGCCCTCAGAGCCGTGTTTAATGGTTCCCTTGTACCTCCTGCTGGCTTCAAAGGGGCATGTCCTCAAGGTCAAGCTGGGTAGGGAAAGGGCACAAAGTGTCAGGGAACAGTAGCTCCCAAGTGGCTTTGCAGTTGGCAGCAAGTGCCCTGGGACTTAGCCTGGCTCTGGAGGATGCTGGGGTGGGGTTTACCCGGCATGTGGTCAGGTATCTCCCAGGCATGGCTACGAGTCAGGGGGAGGAAGTCCATTGGTTATGCATCTTCTCATCTCAGTAAAACAGGGTGGCCTGTTCTAGAACAAAGTGCTGTTCACAGGCCTGAGGCTGCTGGCTCCACCTTCCAACAGATGAACAAACTTCGGAAAAGTTAACTTGCCTCTCAGAGCCTCTGTTTTCTCATCTGTATAGTGAGGATAACACTAAATAATTTCTATCTCACAACACAGTGATGAAAATTAAAGAAGATGATACATGTCAGGTAGTTAGGAGAGTGCTTGCAATATATTAAGCACTTGAAAGTATCTGCTTTATTTGGGCCGGCCCGTGGCTCACTCGGGAGAGTGTGGTGCTGATAACACCAAGGCGACGGGTTCGGATCCCATATAGGGATGGTTAGCTCACTTGGGAGAGCGTGGTGCTGACAACACCAAGTCAAGGGTTAAGATCCTTGCTTTATAAGCGTTATTTATATAGAGGGAAGCTTTGGAACAAGATTTAAAGAAATGCAGTTTCTTCATGTTCTTGGCCCCTTCCTTACAAACTGGTTAACTATTTTCAGAGCTAATGTGATGCAGCCTTTGGCCTGTCCATTATGTGGTTGTTTCCTTACCAACTGCTACCACAGGCCACTAAAGCAAGTGGAGTGGTGCCCATGACCCTGTCTGTGAACTCATCCCCACACAGACAGCGCCATGAAGCAGAAAGCCACAGAAGGCAGTGGAGGCTGGCCACTGGGCCAAGCATCACACCATCTGGCTCTCATGGAGAAGGAAGGGGTCAGCCATGTGCCGGGGGTGGGGAGGACAGAGCCTGTCCTGGACAGGGGGAGAAACGCAACTGAGTTTTTATCAGGGTGGGCTTCCTTAGGGCAGAGCTTTGAGAGGGAGGCGAGCAGAAGTGTGCCACCCCTGCCCGCCACATGCACCTGACCTGACACCCCACCGTGCCTTGCAGATGCCCCCAGGGGCGTGGAGGTCCTCCTCAGCCCCTCAGGGCGGAACATCCTCCCAGGTGATCTGGTTACACTCACCTGCCAAGTGAACAGCAGCTACCCTGCGGTCAGTTCTGTTAAGTGGCTCAAGGATGGGGTGCCCCTGGAAGCTGAGAGTCGTGTGCTACAGTTGTCCCAGGCAGCCTGGAGCGATGCCGGCATCTATACCTGTGAAGCTGGGAATGGTGTTGGTTCTTCAGTCTCGCCCCCCTTCAGCCTCCACATTTTCAGTGAGTCCTGGAGGAGGCAGGGAGGGGCCCAGGCCACTGGGATTGAGGGGAGCCATACCAGGGAGAGCCTGAGGCTGGCATGGCTAGGTGCCTCCTGGGCTGTTGGTGTGGAGTCCCCTCATGAGACAGATGACAGTGCCTCCTGGCAGGGTGGAATATCAGGAATATCAAAGAAGTGCAGGGCAACTCCAGGAGGCTCCACTGCAGGAGGGTGGTGTAGAATGTGCAGGGGTTGAGGCTGATTGGCTGCAACCTGGGGACTTTGAGGGGTGGGGCTGGAAGCCGGCTGGGATCCCCCACTGTGCCCTATGCTGCCCTTGCAGTGGCTAAGGTCCAGGTGAGCCCAGCAGGCCCCATCCTGGAGAACCAGACGGTGACGCTGGCCTGCAGTACCCCCAAAGAAGCACCCAGCAAGCTGGGCTACAGCTGGTACAAGAACCACATCCTGCTGGAGGACGCCCACTCCCCTACCCTCCAGCTGCGCTCAGTCACCAGGGCCGATACCGGCTTCTACTTCTGTGAGGTGCAGAATGCCCAGGGCAGTGAACGCTCTGGCCCCGTCAGCGTGGTGGTCAGTCGTAAGTGGCCAGGCGGGTGGTACTGCCAGAGCAGGGCCAGATGGTGGAGCCCCAGCAGGAGGGCTGGGGATCTGGGCACCGGAACTTTGAGGCTACTTTACCTGGATGTGGGCTTTGCAGCCAGGTGGCCTTGAGCTCACATGCCAGCTCTGCACACCTGGGCAAGGCTTTGACCTCTGTGAGCCTCAAATTCCTCCTGTTTTATAAAAACTTTTTATTTGGAAATAAGTTCAAATTTAGGAAAAGTTGCAAGAATAGTACAAAGAATTATCATATACATTTCACCTAGACTCCACACTTGTTAACATGTTAGCACATTTACTTTGTCCTACTCTCTGTCTATATATACAGTTGTCACTTGGTATCCACTGGGGATTGGTTCCAGGACCCCCTTGAATACCAAAATCACAGATGCTCAAGTCCCTGATATAAAATGGCGTAGTATTTGTGTTTAACCTATGCACATCCTCCCATATACTTTAAATCATCTCTAGATTACTTATAATACCTAATAAAATGTACATGCTATGTAAATAATTGTTATGCTGTATTTAAAAAAGAATTTTTATCTTTCTTATCGTTACATTGTTATTTTTAATTTTTATTTTTTTCCAAATATCTTCGATACTTGGTTGAATCCAAAGATGTGCAACCTGCAGATACGGAGGGTCAACTGCATACACACACACACACACACACACACACACATCCATACATATATATACATATCCATACATATATGCAAATATACATGCATATATATGTATGTTCTTATTAGCATGTACAAACATTTATTTTCTATGTAAATATGCACACACACACGCACTGTCTCTATATACATACATACATATATGTTATCTATTTACCCACCCACCTACCTACCATTTCCATTCCTGAAGTTGCAGACATGATGCCTCTTTACCCCTGAACTCCTCATTCTGTATTTTCTAAGATCATTCTCTTACATAACCACAGTACAATGATCACAATCAGGAAATTTAACACTGATACAAGACTATTATCTAATCCACAGTCCATACTTACATTTTACCGCCCAATAATGCCTGTTAGAGCAATTTTTTCTGGTCCAGGAGCCCATCCAGGCTCATGCGTTGCCTTCTGTTGTCATGTCTCGTTAGTCTCCTTTAGTCTGGGACAGTTCCTCAGTCTTTCCTAGTCTTTTTGACATTGAAACTTGAAGAGCACAGGCCAGTTGTTTGGTGAATGTGACTCAATTTGCATTTGTCTGACCCAAGTAGACCGAGACCACACACTTTGGGCATGAATGCCACAGACGTGATGCTGTGACTGCCTCACTGAGTCCTATGGAGGCACACCATGCCCGTTTGTCTCCTGCTGAGAGTGTTCACTTTGATCACCTGCTTAAGGTGCTGTCCACTGCCAGGTCTCCCCACCAGTTCCTCACCTCTAAAGTGGGGCAACA